TAATCTGCTCAGCAGGGTCCTGCCAGAGGAAATTCATTCCACTGTTGAGAGAGAAAGAAATGGGCTCCCAAGAACAAGCAATATTATTTACATGGCATTGATCAGTACAGAGCTTTTGCTGGCTCAGCAATTTGAACCCCTCGTTTTCATCAGTGGAGTGCTTAACCCTTGGCTAATTGGATTTGCTGTCTTCAGTGTGATCTATGCCGTCTCCAATTACTCTTTGCATGGCCCCAGCTGGGCACTTGCTGCTTTTGGCAGGGACAGGGAGCCAAAAGACCTGAACCCCTGCAAGGTCTGCGCAGGCAAAAGTGTCCTGACGTGTTGGGACACCAGCTCCCTGGTAAACAACGCTGACAAAGTTGGAGCTGGAACTGGGTGGAAGCTTGGGCTGAGGAAGGATTTTATTTGATCTAATGTGGGTGTTGTTTTAACTGTCCTAAATGGCATCTTACAAAGGACAGAATTAGACCCTGTAAATCCAGGGAGGGGGACAGAGAGGGTGTGAAAATTGTCTGTGATTAATTACTTAGCAGTGAATTATTATTTCATTAATTAGGCTGCATCTGATACTGAAGCTCTGAGCCTACATAGTCACAGGCTTCCCAGTGGGGTAAGGACTTATTAGTGATAAGGTAAACTGAGGCACAGATGGATGAAGCCATTTTGCAGGGCCACCCAGGGGAGCTTTGAGGGACCAGGGCTCTGTGTCATGTCCCCACCACTGAGATGCCATCCCAATCACCCAGTCTGGGATTTTTTCCCTCAAGGCTGAGCTGGCTTCTCCCACCAAGGAGGTCCCCATCCCACAGAGCAGCTCCTTCTTTGGATTCCCAATGAAGAAAGAGAGCGACAACAACAAAAATAAAAGCCATAAACCAGCTAATCTGCAAGGAAGGACAATCCGTGACTCTTTCCTGCATGGCCAAAAGGCTTAATTTTCCTTGGACTGGAATCAAAAACCATTCAGTGTTTTAGATCTGGAAGTGCAGAGACCTCAGGTGCTCGGTTGTCCCTCAAAAGCCAAATATCTGGGACTTGCTTTCTCCCACAGCAGGCAGCCTCACATGGGGAAGTCAAAGGGACCCAGCCATGTGTGGGCCCTTGCAGCCTTGTTTTCAATCATGGCCAAGAGAAAGCCTTTAACCAGACATCACGCAGAGCCTCAACAGACGGGTAATTGGGTGCTGTTTGCTGAGCCATGTCATGGGAGGTCAGACAAGATGCTCTTTCATGACCTTTAAAATCCATGAACTAGTGAAATTGGGGCGTTTGGCTGTGTTGCCGGGGCTGCCAGCAGCATCTGATGCCTGGCTCTTCTGGGTGGGCAGGGGCTGCCCAGGAATGGCTGTATTTGGCAAACCATCAGCTGGGTGCTCGCTGCACCCCTCTGCGGGCAGCAATCCCCCTCCACCGCTGCGGGCCAGCGCTCCCCATCTGCTCCAGCACAAAGTCAGCCCGTTTCCCCGGGGCTGGAGGTGGGGCACAGCATCACTGGGCACAGTGCTCCCACCTGGCTGTGCCAGCGGTGCCCGTGGCATCGGCCGGAGCCAGAACCCCACGAGGACACCTGGGTCATGCACCGGCACTGCCCTGTGGTGGACACGATCCTGTCAGCAGGGCAGGAGCAAACTGCAGAAAATTATTCCCCCCCCCGGTGCTGAGTCAGTGAAATGAAAATGAGCATTTTACCTTACGGGAAGCAGTGAAGCTAATTTAAAATGCAGTGGTGGTTAAAAGGGATCCGCCTCTCCCAGTGCCATCTTGATAACATCTTTACCGAGGCACTTGCGTGAAAGCCCAGAGCAGGTTTGGGGGAGCAGCTGCAGGAGGTGGGAGCATGGCTCTGTGCTGAATGTGGGGCGTAGCGCCATAAGACTCCACCACTGGAGTGGTGGAACACCCCACCACTGCCTACGCGGCTCCATCCGTGAGCTCTACCCTCCCATCACCCAAGGGTGCTTTGATTTTCTTTCTGGGGAATTTCTGGACATGCAGCGATTGCATGATGTCGGGTGATGCATCCCATGGCTGCTCACTGACATCCTCTATGCGGCAGCTGGGGCCTTGGGGCCACAGACAGCCGGGGAAACTGAGGCATTCCTGGAAAATCAAATCCTCTTTCCTTCTTTCTCGTGGCCTGGGTGTTGTGGTGTTTCGAAGCTCTACTGATGCAGCTATTGATTTGCTGAAGCTGTTATCCAAGGTGTGCAGCCAAAGCTTTGGAAACCAACTCAGGATCTGGGAATTTATGAGAAGCTAGCGGAAAATCCTGGAAAGAGCAGAGAAACCCCAGAAAGGCCCTGGAGTTCCCAGAAGCTGAGGGGAGTTCTGGAGAGCAGCAAAAGTTCCCGGCAAGCCCTGAAAACCTCCTTAGATGGGCGCCAGTCCCATCGTCCCTGGAAAGTGCTGGGGAATTCCTAGAAAACAGGGGGAAATTCATAGCAGGTCCTAAAACCTTGTGGAGACTCCCGGATGCTACCGAGAGTTTCAGGGGTCTGCAGCCTGCCCCCCACCCCACGGCTGCCAGCCGAGGGGCTGGATCCAGCTCCTCTCCCTGTTCAGGCAGCCTCTGCCCAGGGGAATATTTTGGTAGCACGGAAGGACCCACAGTTGTCAGGAGGGGAACAGCTCCCCAGCACAGCGGTGGAATGCCAAAAGTTTGCGACCTGAGGGGCTTTCATATTCCCCCTCCATGGAGCTACTCAGGAAGCCCATCCTCAGCTCCAGTGGGTCTGGAGACGAGAACATCTCTCCTCTTTCCTCAGGGAGATATCTTTGCTGATCCAGGCAAAAACACAGCCAAGAGCCCCTAGAAATAACGGTGCAATTACCAAAGTAATTATCCTGGCTGCTGTGCAAATCGTGCCCAGTTAATGTCAACAGTGAGGGGGGGCAGTGCGCGGGTCCTGCCTTAATTAAACTTCCCCTGGTTGGTCGGAGGAGATGACTGGGAGGAGGTTCTTGTTATCGCTTGTATTCCCTGCAAATAAATGTCTCCCGCTGTTGGGAATATCCCTCCATCCCTTGTGGGGGGGGGCAGCTCCAGGCGCAGGGCCACGGTGGTGGAGGCAGCATCGTGGAGCAAGAGCGGGGATGAAAAGCGATCGGAGCCTTCACAGTCCCCGGGGATTTGTGGTCCCTGTCCCTGTCTGGAAAGTCCCACCATGGGGACGGAGCCACACATGTAGGGGAACGTGGCTGGAGGCAGCTCAAGGGGAGCACAACAGGGAAGTGCTGGGGTGAAAGGGACCTGGTAGCTGGTGTTGGTCAAGAGAAAACCCAAGGCACAAGAAAATGATGGGGGGGCAGGGCGGTGGATGGAGGAGAAGATGGGAGGAGACGGGGGCAGGGCTGGGGCTGGCCTCAGCAGAGCAACATTCTGACTTTTCAACCCTCCTTTGCTCCCTGCTCTCTCCCTGTTGCAGGAAGGGGTTGGATGCTTTATGAGGTTTGTTTCTTTTTTTTTTTATTTATTTTTTTTCTTTTTCTTAAAGGGATTTTTTTAAGGCAGGATCAAGGGGGACCAAGCATCTCTCTGGGAGGTGGGGGGGCACTGGGGTGCAAGGGTGCCCATCCCCAGCTTTGCCTCCTCCTCACAGGTGGTTTGTGCAGCCTCACAACGTCACATTAAAATGCAAATTTGTCCCTGCCTGCCGGGAGCAGATAGTAAAACGCTAAACAGGAAAGAGGCAGTGGAGAATAAACAGAGGGCAGCGCGAGAGGGGAGCTGGAATAAAGGCTTCTTTTTAATTATTTTTCCTCTTTCTTTTTCCTTCAGTGAGATTTGGCTGTTTGGTGGGGGGGTTATTTAATGGGATCTGAAGCAATAAAGTAGGAAGGTGCTGGGTTTGGACTAGCTGGGTGCTGGGGTGCAGGTGGCTGGTGGCCTGTCCCAGCGGGTGCCACCAGCCCCAGAACTGGGGGTGGTCTGCAGCCTAAATCACACCGTCTCCAACTGCTCTCTTGGGTCTTTTTTTTTTTTTTTCCCTCTCTTTTTTATTCCATTTCCCAGTTGATCATTCTAGATGGGAAAAAAATAAAATCGCAGTAGTCGGAGTGAAGAGAACTAGCTGGGGAAGGGACCAGGCACAGTCAGACTCCACTGGAGCCTTCAGAGCATTTCTATTTCCCTGGGGCTTGTCCCCAGCGGTTGGACTACACACATATATCCTTTATATATATATATTTTTTTAAAAAAAGAATATATATAAAAATATATGTGCACACACATATTATATATGCATATATATACATATGTATGAAATATAAATATATACATATGTATGAAGTATAAATATATACATATATATGAAGTATAAATATATACATATTTATATATCAGTAAATAGCTAGCTACACAGCTCTATAGGAGTTTTTGTTCTGTTCATTCAAAAGCGGAGCCACCCTGAGCAGGTCTCGCGCTCCCCGCTGCCCCTCGCCCGGCGCCAGGCCATCCCCACCCGCTGCGGAGGCAGCGATGCTGGCGGGGGGAAGCGCCTGGATGGAGGTTGCTGGGGACCGAGCCGCTGCCAGGACACGAGCTGGGATGGGGGGGGGGGGGGGGCAGAAGAGCATCTTCAGCCCCCGCAAACCACTCCGGCTCCCCAGTCCGTGGGTGCTGCCTTCCCCGGGGCTCTTGGAGACCCAAGCCGGATCCGGCAGCCAAAATGGGAAGCGATGGGCTGGAAAACTGCTGCTGATGCTTGGTGACAGACCTTGGGCCTGGCTACAGCCGCCTGCGCCGCGGGGAGGCAGCGGGCCAGCAGCCAGCGCTGCTCGGGGGGCTGCTGGAGAGCAGCCAGAGGAAGGGGGGGCAAAACCTGGCGGGGCCACCCCGTGCCGAGCCCAGCCAGGCCACCCCGTTCCTGATCCCTGCGGGTCTGCGTCCCCTCCACTGCCTTCCAGCTTCGCAGCCCTGAGGACGTGCTCACGGACCAGGAGTCGGGCGCTGCTGTGTCTTATTACAATTATAAAATTTTATTATACACTTTTCTTACCTTCTCCCCCTCCTATTCTTCCCCCCCCCTCTTTTTTTTTTTTTTTTTTTTTATATAACAAATATTCATATATGTTAATTTAACGAGGAGGTTTGGCAGTTCCAAGCAGGGAAGTCAGCTGTATTAATTTTACTGCTTGGAGCCGCTATCAGCTCAGCAGCTCGTTCAGCCAGACCTGGGTCTTTTAGATAACGGGGCACGGTAAAACCTAACTAACTGCATCATATGCCTGGCCTTTGAACACATCTCAATTCTCCCATATATATATATATGTATACGTATATATAAAATCAGCATAGAGCTATCAGGTAAGTTTTAAGGCCACTCAGGGGAGAAATTTTCATAGCCCAAAATTGATAAACTCTTTAAAGAGGCTTTTGAAACACCGCACACCACCACAGACTGCTGCTTGCCTGCCAGGGAAACTGAGGCACAGGGGCCAGTGAGGATGGGGCTGCAGCATTGCCTGGTCCCTGACCACTGGTCCCTGATCAGGCTGCCCAAGAGGGGAGGATTTTGGAAGAGGGATGCCCAAATCCACAGCTTTGACCCGAAAGTGCTGAGAGGTTAGGTGGGGGTCTAAGCTGAGCCATGCCCCCAGGACACTGGCAGTGTGTGTGTGTGCCCCCAGCAGACCCCACACCCACTGGGACTGATCCCCAAACCGCTGGGAGCACCCGCCCTGGGCCCCGCGGCAGAGATACGGCCCATCACAGTGCTGCAATGCCTTTTGGTTTCGGCTTTTTGTTTTGTTTTTTTTGTTTGGTTTTTTTTTTTCTTTTCTGGTCTTTTATTTAACAAAAAAAAAAAAAAAAAAAAAAAAAAAAAAGAGAGACACAGTGGTGGGTAACTTCCAATCCAGAAATAATCCGCTGCCAGCCTCCGCCTCCCCCTCCACCGGGTGATGCCAGCAGCATCCCCGTCCCCACACGCAGGTGCCCACTGGTGACTGCACAGCCCAGGACCCCCAGCCTGCCAGTGCCGGCAGCCCCCACAGGGTTAACCCAGCTAAGGCTGCTCTGCACTGGGCTGGAAGATGGGGTGGCCCTGGGCTGGGGGGAACCTCTCAGGTGAACTGGAGAGGCTGGGAGCTGGCACCAGCGTGGGGTGACCTGGAGGCATTGGCTTATGGCAGTCAGAAGGCACCACGGAGGCTGAGCCTGGCTCCGGGCATCCCTGTTGGGCTGGTACCGGGGGAACTGGGCTGGCACTGGGACACTTGGACCACATTCAGTTGTGGGTGTCCGCACCCACCCAGGTGTGACCCCACAAGGCAGTAGGAAGCCCCCCGTCCTGGAGCGACATCACAGCACTGGTGGGGGCAGAAACCAGGGGCTGATGCTGGAGGTCCTGGCAGGTCTGTTGGTGGACCCCGCAGCTGGGACCAGAGAAAGAAGCAAGCGCAGGCAGGCTCACAGGCAGCAAGCTTGCTGGCCCCCCTAAAACTGCCCCTGCCCAGAGCACCAAGGCGGGGGCAGAGGCAACCGCCCATGGTCCCCAAGGGATGCTCCTGTGGCAAACATTACTGTCACTGTCCCACAGGGCTCACACCAAAGGGAGCAGGGCAAGCCTGGCACTTGGGGCTGGGACGCAGCAGGCGATGGGCAGTGGTGCCCCAGACCTGTGGCTATGGGGCTCCAGCCCCCTGGCAGCCACCCTCCCCCTCCTGCCTCACCTAGCATCACCCACGGCGTGGGGCAGTGGGCTCTGGGTGGGGGGAGCCCCCCAACACCCCAGGGGCGGCAAATCCCTGAACCAGAACTCACCTCCAAAATTGTGCAACCAAGTGCAGCAAAGGCAGGGGGGTTGCTTTCAGGAAGCCCCCACCTGCCACCTTCCAGCCAGGCTCTTCCAGGGGACAGGACACCTCCCTTCTTCCACCCCCTGCACAGCAGGACCCGCAGCATCATCCGGGCCCATTCACCATTTGACACACACGCACCCCTCAAGGTTTTGACCCCATCCATCTCTGCCCCCCGGCTTGCCTCCCTTGCTGCCCCCTTGCCACAGGCCAGATGGTAAAAGGCAAGAAAAAACCAAGGTCCCTGGGGGTGCCTTCCATAGGGTGAGGACGTGGGATGCGTGGAACAGGGAATGCGCAAGAGAGCCGAATTTGGGTCTCCAGCCCCGGGGAAGCAGCTGGCGTGGTGTGGCATGGCGTGGCGTGACACGGCGTGGCACGGTGTGGCAGCCCCCTCCCTCCCGCCCTGTCCCCTCTGCCCCCGCGTTAAGCGATCTCTTTGATTCTGCGGATGTAGTTGTGAAGCTCTTCGGGGTCTTGCAGCCCCATGTCCTGGCAGACCCACTCCAAGTCCTCCTCATCAGCGATGGGGATGGAGTTGTAGGCCAGCTCGTCGGAGGGCAGCGTGGCGAAGGTGGTGAACTTCACCCGCTTCCGTTTGGAAGTGGGTGAGTTGAGCGGGTCCTCGCTCTGGTCCCGTGTGGAGCCCCCTGAAGAACCGTCCCCACGGCCATGGACCTGGCTCTGCACGCTGGTCTGTGAGCTCCCGCTGCTGTGGTGGTCCCCATGGCAGCAAGTCTGGACATTTTCCAGGGGGTTCCCGGGACTCTCGGGCTGGGGGGAAAGGTCATTGTGAGCCCGCAAGGGCTGCCCATTGCCCAAGAAGACCCAATGGTGGGAATGGTCCATGTTAGTCTGGCCTTCAGGCGGGATCCGTTTGTGCCGGTATTTCAGCACAAAGACAATGCAGTTGATGAGGAAGACCAAGATGGCCAGACAGAAGACGCCCAGGAGGGCATACATGCCTATCTCCAGGTCCGTCAGCCCCCTGGTCACCTGGACGAAGCCAGTGGGGATGGTGGGGAAGTCCTCGGTGGGGTGAGACGCGCTGGACATCCTATTGTCCTCACTCGGCTCCACTTTCCTCTCCACCTCTGCCCGCAGGGTGGTGCTCGCCCCCGTCTCCACCAGCCCCGGCTTGCTGGGCACGTGGTCATAGTCATAGGTTGGGTCCTCCTCAGACCCAAAGTGGACCCGCACACTGGCCAACGCTGTGAAGAGCACGCTCTTGCGCTTGGTCTTCTGGCAGCTCTCGCAGATGACCAGCTCAGCCCGCAGCAGCTCCCCTGCACCCTCGCTCTCCGCCACCACCAAGGGGAACGCCCGGTCCTGGGTCACCGAGACCACCTTCTCATCCAGGCTGCTCACCACCAGGTTGTAGTCCTTAGGGTCGTAGAGGGAGAGGGGGGCTGTGGTGCCATCACTGTAGGAAATCCACAGGCTCAGGAGCGCTTCCTGCAGGACCAACACAGGCACCGGTTGCCCAGCACGATGCCAGTCCCACCTGCACCCGTTTGTCTATCCCTCCATCCATCCCTCCTCCTTTGCATCCTTCTCTCCATCTTTTATCCCTCCATCATCCATCTTTCTCCTCACAACCACCACTTAGTTTTTTCCTTTTGCCCGTTCTTCCTTCAGTGTTCCCCACACTTGCTCAGGCTCACCCAAAATCCCAGCCCCAGAGTTGCCAGATGTGGCTACCAAAGCTGGGCAGGGAACGGTACAGGATTTCTTCCAGACCTTTTTGTTCCCATGGTTGTGTCCTGTCTCTGGGCTGGGCAGGGTTGGTTCATAGGTCTATGAGGCTTTCTGGGGTGCTTTGGGATGACCAGGGTGTTCGGAGGACAGCAGGTGCTGTCGGGGCCTGGGATGACTATGGGCAGGATTCAGGAGGGTGATTTTGCAGATGGAGCCCTCACCCCATCCTAAGCTCCCCACCAGGCCCCCAAGCCTGAACGCACGTCCCTTGCCTCACCTGCTTGAAGAAGCTGAGGGTCTGCTGCACGGATGTCCGGGCAATGATGGTGTGGCTATTGCCAGGGCTGGGGTGGAGGGACAGCGAAAGGCTGGAGACCACCTGGGCCTTCAGGTCTGTGATGCTGACCTTCTCTTCTGCCACTGTCACCAGCGTCTCGCCCAGCACTGCTTCCACGAGCGGGGACACAACCTGCAGGGGACAAGGGTGCCTGTCACCACCTGCCACCCCCAGCCAAGCTGGCAGAGGTGGGGAAAGGTGCCCCAGGGGTACCTTGAAGAGCGTGGTGCCTGGCTCCCTCCCAGCCAGTGTGAAGCTGTCCACCATGTGGGCCACCCGCGAGTCGTCCACGCGCATGAAGTCGCTGACCAGGTCGGTGACCTCCACCAGCCAGTCAGGCCCCAGCATGGTGACCACCTGCCCCGTGCCCTCCGCCGCCGTGGTGTGGAACTGGGTGAAGACCTGCAGCGTGGCGTGCTGGTACTGCAGGGCACAGCCCCGGCTCTGCTTCCGCTCCTCTTCGTCCTCCTCGTGCTCACTGTCCCGTGCCGACCTGCGGGATGGGGCAGTGGGTGGGCAGTGCTGCCAAGCTCCCCACTGCCACAGCTCTTCAGCCCCCACAGGAAAGGAGAGGGGTGGCCAGGCAGGGAGAAATGCAAGGTCACCAAAACAACGGTGGCCTCTGGCCAAAAGATGCCTGTTGCCCATGAGGTCTCTGAGGGCTTTAAGCAGCACCTGGTAGCAAGGTTGCCAGCATCTCTGCCCCCTCATCAGCTGAGAGGACAAGATATCTCAGGTTGGGAGGGACACCTGAAGGCCTCTAGTCCTCAAAGCAGGGCTAACTTTGGAGCTTGGCTGCTCCTGGCCTCATTCAGGGAAGTCTAGACCATTGCCAAGGATGGATGTTTTTCACCAGCTCCAGCATTTGACCAACCTCATTGTGAAATTTTCCTCCTTCCATACAAATGTGCAACCTGTGTCCGTGATCTCTCACCTTTTCACTGAGGACCCCTGAGATGACCCTGGCTCCATCATCTTTAAAATTCCCTCATTAAGTAGCTGAACAAGGCAACTAGATCACTACCACCACCTTCACCTTGCCTTCTCCAGGCTGGACAGACCCCAAGCATGGTGGCTCCATAGCACCCACCTCCTGTCTGGCAGGATGGGCACTCTCCAGCCCTTCACTTGGCTCAACCGGGCGTCCGAGAGCTCGATGTGCAGTGGCAGTTTAGGCACCCACACCGTCATCTCCAGTGGGGCAGAGAGGTGCTCGTAGGTGAAGGTGACCCGGGCGCTCATGGAGCCCTGCGACTCCTTCCCGCTGACGAAGACGTAGTCACAGCTGCTGGAGACCTGGGGGAGAAGGGAGGATGGGGGGGTTGCAATGTGCCTGCAGATACACCAGAAATCCTGGCAGGAGGCTGCCTGGAAGATGGGAAATGCCAGAGGAGCAGAGTATTACCTGGTACATGCCCGGTTACAGGTGGCCCAGGAGCGGGGATGCTCTCGCCTCCCAGAGGTCCCTGCTCAGAGGTGTGCACCCACACACACCGTGGCTATAACAAGTATTTCCCCCTGATCCAGCTCCTCTGCCAGTCCTTGCAGGCACCTTCATTCGGTGCTTCAGCTTTTTTGGCCCCCACGTTAAATTGTACCCCATTACTGCGCTCAAGCTAGAGGCACCCACGGGTGCTTCATAGAGGTTGCAAATTGCTCATCCTGGAACATTTGCCCCAAAATCTCCTCCACCCATGCCCAGAGGGCACAGGTAGCCAGCACGGACCAGCCCCATGCCCAGGTACCCACCGGTGCCTCATCCCCATCCCTCCTGCTAACCGCAGAAAGAGCTTCCCAGAGTCCATCTGTAGCCTCACGTTCACCTTCTCACTCTTTCTCTTTTAACTCCCATTTATGCAAATGCCGTTAGTTAAATTTGCTATAAAACAAATACATCCTGCGGGGGACACTTATTACTGCCTGATCCAAGCCAATTAAGGAGCTAAGAGGATGCCACTGCAGCATCAACAGCATCTTCTCCTTCCCAGCAAGGGTGGGAGGAGACAACCAGACTGGGGAGGCTCCAACCTCTCACCTGCAGTGGCCCCATGGCCCAACCCTGACCCCCTTTCCTCCACCTTACACCATCAGGAATTGCATCGGAGTCGTTTGCCTGCCGGGGAAAAATAAAACCCATTTGCTCAGCCAGCAGCGTAGCTGCCCTGAGACACACAAAGCATCAGAACAGCACAGAAGGGCTTATTTCCAATAAGCTGCTCTCCCACATGGATTCTCTGATGGCTGATAAGGAGCTGAGTCCATGCTGCACGGTAGCTGACAGCAGAGGTGATAGCATCACTGTCTCTCTCCCCATCTTATCTTTGGGCACCTGTGGTCATTCAGCTGCAGGAACTTTGTATTTCCGAGCCCACGAGCAGGGCCTAACTTGTACAAGAGCTCCACGTTTCAGCTGCAGGAGCCTGCTGCAAGGTGTCCACAGTCGCCGGGGCCAGCGGAGGAGGCAGCACCCAGGACCTGGGCTCCTCAGGAATTCCCTGCTGCCCGGGCAGGGGAGGGACGTGCAATGCAGGAGGGTTTGTTCCTTGTCTTCCTATCACAGATACCACCTCAGCACGTCTGAAAAGACAATCTCATCTCTGGCAGGGCAGCGTCTGAATAAAGATGAGCTCTTGGATGAATCCTCCAGCAAAGGAGACTCTGGATATTGTGCCATTTATCACAATAAATATGATGGGCTGCTGCTTGCATTACCTTAGCTAATAAATCCCCCCAGCATCATCTTCTGTGGACCACTTGCTTTGCAATTGTGGGGGTTGAAACTGTGATAACAAAAAATCCCAACACATCAGGCCTGTCCTGATGATGAAGTGACTGCAGATTAGCTTTTAAATAAAGTGCACGCTTGTTCGGAGAAACTTCCCGGATTTGCAGCAAGGCATCGGGAAGCGAGAGGCTGAGGTCTGCCCGGGCTCTGAGCCAAGACACCGCTGGCTCCGCTTCTGTGGCGAGGAGCTCCCCCCTTGGCACGGCCTCAAGCCTGGGATTAAGTAGACACAACTTCTCCAAGGCCCTTGGGAGTGGGAAGAGCCACCGTGGCTGGTGGCAGCCCGTGTTGGCCAGCCAGGGGTCCTGGTGGGGGCTGTGGGCGACCAGGGTCCCTGAGGTTCAGGCCCACTGGGCTGACTTGCTCCTGGTGGGTCCCCAGGCAGACGTGGGTGGTGGGCCCCTAAGAAAGGCTCACGTAGCAGGTGAAGTTGAGCATCTCCCATTGAGTATCGCCGGTAGCAGAGGTGCCACTCCCTCTCCCTGCATGTCCCTCAACACGTACACAGCCCCAAAGGCCACCACGCAGGCAGGCAAGGGGGATTATTTCTACGCTATCTTGAGTGATGAGGTCCTCCTGTCTGGGCTGAGCACAGGCAGTCACCCTGTGTCACCCCAGAAGGGGATGAGGGTGACAACTCCCACCCATGCTCTCCCACCATCCTTCATGGGTGGCACTGGCACCTCTACAGCTGTGTCTGCACCAGGTCCAGGACATGTTCCCTCCGTGTTACACATGAGAGTGACCACCACTGAGCCAGCCACAGGCAGCACGGGGAGAAGCAGCTCCCCAGACCTCCTTCATGTTAAATTATTTACAGTAACAGATAGCACATCCCACTATGTAAGCTTTGATTTATGTAACAGGTTTATAGCCCTGACACCGTAATCATACTCCCCAATCTCAGCAGGTAACTGAGAGCTCCCTTGGAAATGAAGCTCCAGCACAAACACAAAATAACTCAGCAAGAAATTGCATGGGGCTCCGAGCGGCGAGCGGGATGCAAGCAGGAGGTGAGCTGGGGCCGGAGGGCTGCTCCATGCATTATTCATCCCAGCTCGTGTGCATGTGTCTGCCCCCCCCAGGTCTGGGGACAGCATGTAAATAGATTTATGAGTAGAAAGGCAGCACATTAAACAGTTTAAGTGTCTTGGAGTCCATCCTGAAGTGTATTATAGCTCCAGTGTTTTATCACACTGCAGAGGACCAGTCTCCATAAATTAGACCTGGTGCTGTAAATCGCACAGATAGGAGTTTTAGTCAAGAACTTGGGTAAACAGTTTGTGACACCAGCTGTCACCCACCCGTACACCCACAGACCTCTGGGGAGAGCAATGCCCGCTGCCCCTGGCTCAGCTGGGAGAGCAGCTGGTGGCTGCTGGCAAAGAAGGGGAGAAGGGGCTATGTCCCTCAGCCTGGGGGACGTGGGACAGCCCAGGGCCACAGCATGGCTCACTGCCCCTGCCCGACACAGCGGGGACATGGGGCAGGTGGGCTGGCTGGGTGGGTGCAGGGGAGAGGGGTGGGAGGTGTTTGGGAGAAGGTAATGATGTCTAGGGTTGGATGGACGGGCGGACGGATGGAAATGATAGAATAATACGGGCAGGTGGACAGGTAGATACATAAAGGGATAGAAAAATGTATATGGATGAATGGGTCTGGTGGTGGAAAAGCCATGGCTGGATTTGAGGACCAACTGCTGCCTCAGTGGCTGGGGCAGACGTGGGGGCAATCACTGCTGCTGCAACAGCTAGCCTTTTGCATTTGCTTAATCAGCATCTCTCCCATGCAGCCCATCTCGCTCCCCTCCCTCTGACCCCCTTTTCCCTCCATTGTCCCCAGTTGCCCAGCTCGTCCCCCCACCCCTTGCTGGGGCCAGCCCCCAGCCCCAGCCTGAGCTCAGCCTGGCACCTGACCCAAAAGGGTGATAAATGTCACCCGGAGGCACAAGAGAAGCCACTGATGGAAACGTGCAGCTTACATTGCGAGGTCACAATATTTCACCTTATCAGTACTAAATGCCATGATAACCCATAGCTATTGCTGCTGCCTGGTGCCAGCCTGCGTGGCGCTGGAGCACCCCCCGGCCTCTCCAGGGACAGCGACAAAGGGTGTTGTCCTTCTACCAACAGATCCCAGGGAGTGGGACTGAAGCCACCGAGGGGATGATGCTTGGGGTGGGGTAGGCTTGTGCAGCACATCAGCTCATCCACCAGCCCCAGCTCATCAGGCTCCAGCCCATGCCACTACTGGGGTCTGCACCCCTAGAGGAAGCTCAGCCCCCTGCCAGGGTCACAAGAGCCCCTTCCCCACACCCACCTTGATGATATCTTCATTGTTAGACTTGCACTCGACCATAGCCGAGACGTCCACGATGACGCCACTCAGTTCAATGGCGATGACCTTCACGGGAATGGCCACCGTCCGCCCCGTCAGGATGGCCGTGTTGATGATTTCCGTGTCCTGGGGATGGGGTGCAGAGGACCATCACGTTAGGGAGCAGCCTGTCCCCCTGGGGTCAGATGCTGGCAGGCCCCTCTCTTGCTCCAGCCCTGGGGCAGAGAAGGTCCTGTGGGTGGGTGGGATGTATGGATGAGCAGGTGCTACGAGGCAGATGGGCTGGTGGGAGATCGCTCAGGGGAACCCAACCCATCCCCAACATCAAAGCAGATAAGCTAAGCAGAGGGCAGGAACCTGCTCACCATGGCCAGGGGCACGATGGCCCTGATGTCCCTCTGGATGACTGTCAGCTCTGTCACCACCTTCTCCAGGTCAGGCGGGGGGTTGCGGCCCCGGTAGTCAATGTGCCACATGATGCGGCGTGTCACCGACTGGCTGGTGAAGTTCTCCATCTCAAAATCCAGCTGCATGATCTCAGAGGAGGAGTCCCCATCCCTGGGCAGGGGGACAGGAGGGGGATGTGGTGAGCTGGGTGCCCCAGGCCCCACAGACGCCCCAGAGATCAGCTCCAGGCAGTCCCCTCTCATGATGCGGAGCACCCCAGCAGTTCTGCCTGCCGGGGTGACAGCGCTGTGGGTGCCACCACGATGCTTGCTCCCAAACACAGCAGCCCGCATCCCCCCCCTCTGCCAGGGGCTGCTCCGATGGGAGCCTGCAGATTCCCACAGGAATCTTCCCAGTGGGAGAGAGAAATGCATTTCGCTGCCTCTCTCCAGCAGGAGAAAAACCTCGGCAGCTCAAGCGAGTGCTCTCCCAAGGCTGCTGGGTGATATATTATTACAGGGTGAGTGTGTGGCCATGGCCCCAGGGGACAGTGGGTGGCTACAGGTGCTGCTCTCATCTCCTCAGCTCCGTCTTCCCGGCAGCACAGCCAGATTTACCGCCCTGGGCCGCTCCCACCTGCACTCTCCTCTCCTGCAGGTCAGACCCCAAGTGTCCCACACCCAGGAGGACAGCATGCTCGGGGACGGCAAATAAGTCCCTATACAAGAGTCCAGCCCAAGCTGCTGACTTTACAACCCCTTCCAAGGGAATCACATGGGGAAACTGAGGCACGGGAGAAAGAGGTTCAACCACAGACAGTAGATGGGACAACACTGACCTGGGACTCCGGGCACGGCTGTCCTCCAGCCTGCATGGGCAGTCATGGGAATGCACGGGACGGATGGGCAGGGGATGAGGGAGGTAGATGGGACCAGCAGGGAATAATGGCCCTGAGACCATCAGCTCGTCAAAACCCCCCACATTTAATGCCGCTACTGAGGACAGCAGGCCCCAGAGCCAAAACAGGGAGAGAACTCAGGGGCATCCTCAAGGCAGGATGGGATGGAGAGGCTGTGCGCTGCCAAACCCAGCACATAGTGCCAGTCTAAGGGGACGAGGGGACTCAGCAGCTGCTGTCCCTTGTCCTCTGCATCACAGCTTGAACACAGTCTGACAGCAGCAGTGTAAATCACTCTTACACCCCCTCCCTATAAGCAAACCTCCCCAGATGCGATCCTGACCTTTTATCCCTGTGTCTGACCTGCAAATCCCTTGGGGAGACTCAAGGTTCAAGCACCCTCCCAGTCAAACTTCTCCAGTGCTCTCCAAAAACAGAGCATCCCCAGGGGACACCCTAGAGGCCCCATGAACTGCAAAAAGCACCCCCCACAGCAGGAGGGAAGGGAGTGAGGAAAGGTAAAATCCCTGAGGAAGGGGAAGCCAGGACTGGCTCCTCTCTCATCTCACAGTGTAGTAGCCTCTGAGAAGGTCCCAGCAATCTGGGGATGTAAGATTTGGTTGGGTTTCTCTCTGATAAATATCTAATAAGTGAAAGGGAGCAGAGAAAGAGGAGAGTAAGAAGCTCCAGGCTGTGGCAGGCCCTGCTCCCACAGATGGGCTTCGCAGCAGAGCTGCCATGCGAGGGCTGGTGGGGTCCTGCTGGGACTTTGTGCCCCCAAGGCAGCTTCCATGGGAGCAAAGGAAATCGCCAAAGGCCATCCTGTCTGAAGAAGGGGATTTGGCTGCTCACTGCCTCTTCCAGCACAGAAGTATTAAATACAGCTGAGAAGAGCCAGGTTCAAAGGCAAACTGGAGCTGCGGTTTCATGCCAGAGGCGGTTTGGTGCTGGGACACCTCACCATGAGGTGCCCACAGGCATCCCAGGAGCCCTGCCAGGGGCCAGCCACCAACTTCTGCCTGCCCCAAGCATCATTTGCTTTCAGCCACGGCAGAGATGAGAGCCAAACTGACCAGGTTGGGGGAATAATTTAGGATGCAGCTGCTGGGGTGCAAAACATCCAAAACTGGCCATTATCATCCCAAAGCTCAGGGCACTCGCCCCCTCCCTGCACAGCCAGCACTGCCAAAAGCCTCCAGAGCCCCGGTGAAGCAAAATCCTCTGGCTGCACAGCCTGGAGGGCAACATGGTTTTGAGTCATTCATACTTTCCATTCCCTTAATATTTGATGGAGTTGTTTGTCTAAAAGGTGATTGTAATCACTTTAAATTCATCCTCCGTCTCTAACCTTTGCAGGCTGATTTGAAGCGGCAGTGGCAGACAGGGAGAGGGGGAAGGGGGAGAGGAGAGGATCTCACTGCCGGCAGGTCTGGCAGCCGCATGCAGGGGTGCTGGGGTGTCTGTGCAGAGGAAGGCAGGGCTTGTGGCCCCGGGGACACTCTGATGTCAGCCACGGGGGGGCTGCGGGCTCTCATGCTGAGGTTGCACTTTTTATCGAAGCAATAGTGTGGGATAAAGGAAAATCTACCCTCCAGGTAAGCCCTTTGGAGGGGTTTTGTGCAGATGGCTTTTGAGCTCACATTCAAAGCAGTCAGAGTTGAGGATCTCCTTTCTGTAAGAGCTTATCCCCAGCTTCAATCAGTTTTGGGGTGGAAGGCAGAGATATGGGGAGATTTCCAACACAGAGGGCAGGAACAGCTCGAGCACATCAATTGACTTTAACCAGGCTCCTGGAGACACCTGTCTCCCTTTTTCCAAACACACGGTGATTGGAGATATCACATCCCGGGAACAATTGCTTTCCAGCACTTCAGAGCCTTTCCTGTTGGTTGTTTTGACCCCATGCCCATCCCCTGCCTCTGCTCACCATGTCCTGCCCACATGGATGCAAGGAGCAAAGCTGCCCCTCGCCCTTGCAGCCTCCTCATGCTCACAGGCCAGTCCCACGTCTCCCCCTCTCCAGGCTGAGCAGCCTCTGGGTTTTCAACCTGGCTTTGTGGGTCCTCGCTCCTTCAGATCCTTCTCATTTCTATCCCCTGGACTCTTCTCAATCAACCCAAGCCTTTCCTGGAGCCCCATCATCCTTGCGTTAAGCAGGGCAGAACTGGCTCTGCCCATCTCAGGTGCTGTCCTGGTTCATGTTCCCATCCAACTCTCATCCACCACCTCAGGGTCCAGACAGGACCTTGCCTGGGGACTGCTTCCCTTCCTTTCCAGAGAAGACACCAGGATAGTCAGCAAAGAGCTGCTGCCTCTCATGGTAATAAAACTTCTTAAAAAATTAAAATACTTCCACTCCAAACTGAGGGATCCTCCATGGTCTCACAATTCAACCCCAAAATTAACCACACGTACCCACCAGCATCCGGCGGGCAGGCAATCCCAGCTCAGAGCCAGGGATGCAGCTGCTAAATGACTTACAAGTGCATTGCTTGAGCCCCAGCTTGGTCACCTGTGTTGACCATGGAGCAGATCCCACCTGAACGCAGCACCTCACACAGCCCTTGGACAGCTGCCTGCCTGCCCACAAACCTGCCCACAAAACCCACCTTCACCTGCACCGTGCCAGCCAAGGTTAAAAACCACACACAAAATTAAGCTCCTTCCTGCATCAGTGCAGGATCCAGCCCAACCTTAGCTGGACTGAGAGTTTGACCCCCAAATTGCTCATTCCCCTTTGGTCCTTCAAAGTTCCACAGTCTGGGCTGTGCGCTCTTATGCCTCAGTTTCCCCTGCCAGCACCCACGTGGCACTGCAGCCAACCAGGCACCCAGGGTGGGGACAAAGGGAGAGGTGCTTAAGGCCAAATCCCAGCGATTTCCCCAAACCCCCCATGGCTGGGGGGGAGCAAAGAGAGGGAGGGACCCTTACCTGGGCCCATCACCGTCCACCCTGGCCACGTCGACAGTGGCGGTGGAGTGCTTGCCGCCCGTCAGCAGCTCCGAGCTCACCAGCCACTGCCCGCTCCTTGACTTGGTGCTGAGCAGGTTGACACCCTTCTTGGCCTTCACCCTGCAGAGAGCGATGGTCAGGGCCAGACCCTCACCCCCAGGCACCCCTGGATACCCCCCAGCCCCCTGCCATGGGCACAGGTGGATTTTTTGCTCGCAATCTCTCCTGGCTGTCAGAAACATCATCGAGGCTGGCAGGAAGAACCATGGGGCTGAGCCCACCCCATCCCCTCTTTTTCATAGGATTTTGTCCCCCTTGTCACCCCTCCAGCAGGAGTCTGGTCCCCCAGCCCCAGTGCTGTCCCCGAGGACAGTAATACCCCTATAGGGCTGGGCATCCCTGCAATGAAGGACAGGAGAGCCTCAAGTGCCACGTCCCACATGTCAGAGGCTCGCTGCTGGCCAAGTGGCCACGGGATCACTTGTAAACGCCCATGGAAGAGATGTGGCAGGGGCTTGTCCCCTCATCCTTAGGGACATGCAGCAAGGGGGGTCACCCTGAACACCTCCATGGACTGAGGGGCTCAGTACCCCCTGTCCACAGCCTCATTCTGCTCCTACCCCGGCTCCGTGGCAGGATAGGGGGGATGCAGGGAGCCCCTGCTCACTCTGCAGCAGCCCCATGGCGATACCACACCTAGTCCCCAAAGTGGCTGTGAACAAACCCACATCTTCTGGCAGGGCCCTAATCCCAGTGATGATGCAGAGGAGGAAATCCTGGGTGGACAGCCCTTCCCTTCCCTCCAAGAACCTCCCACTGCAAAGCCCCAAAACGTTGCAAAACCACATGCCAGCTGCTCCATGGCCTCCCTCACCTTCCCAAAGCCCTGCCAGACCCGGTCCAGTCCACGGCAGGTCCCATAAATGCAAGACACCCTCCCCATCCTCTCCCACCTGCCTTTGCACAGCCCAGCCGACACAACCACCCCCTCGAAAGGCTCCTGGAGTGGAGGCAGCCCCGGGACCTTACCTGAGCGTGAAGTGCTCCACTGTGGAGTTGGACATCAGGTAGAGGAGGATGCTCAGCACCTCACCTGGCTTGAGGGGCTTGTCAGGCAGGCGGATAAAGACGTTGCCGTCCAGCCGGTGCTCCTGCATGGGCTGCCCAAGGTGGGGCTGCAGGAGGCTGACACTGCCGATGCGCAGCAGCGGGTGCTGCGTGGGGCCCTCTGTCCTGGCCCCCCCAGCCCCACGGCGGGGGACCGTCTCCCCAAGGCACTGGCCTGCCCCATCCGGGGCATGCAGGGTGTAGTACAGCTCGGCTTGCTGGCTCTCGCCCGGCACCTCCAGGCTCTCGGGGCTCTTCCTCCTGCCCAGCGGCACAGCCGAGGGGCCAAACCAGGCGTGGGGCAGCTCTGCCTGCACCAGGCACATGGCCAGGCTGCCCCGCAGGCGACACGAGCTCTTGATCTCACGGGTGTCGCGGAAAGCGTGGAGCCGCACGCAGGGCAGCCGGTCAGTGACGTCAAAGTCATCCCAATCCCGGCCAGCTACGTAGAAGAGCACCTGGACCACGGGCTGGTTAGCCACCAGCCGGGGCTGGATGATGAAGGCGCGCACCTTCCAGTTGACGGTGAGGCGGTCAGGGACCTCCAGGGTGCTGGAGGGCTGCAGCTGCTCCTTGGGTAGCACCAGCCCGGTGCTGAAAGGCCCCAGGGTGACGTTGAGGACGGGCAGCTCCTTGGTCTGGAAGACGACGAAGGGCTCGGCACGTTGCAGCGGGGTGCTGCCGTTGCCCACAGGGCTGGCTCCCACCTCCTTGAGGAAGAAGGCCAAGCGGGTGTTGGACAGGCGGTAGCTCACAGGCAGCGTGACTGCACCAAGGGGTTCAGCGGGCTCGGGGCTGGGAGCTGGCCCCTTGGCGTGGGCTGTGAATGGAATGGAGAGTGCAGGTTAGTGTGGGGCATCCCCCTCCAGAACATCTCCTGAGCCCCAGAGCAGGGACAGCAGACCCAGGCAGGAGTAGTCCAGCCCTGTGGCAAGGAGGAGCTGGTGCCTCAGCCCCTAGACCCCTCACAAGGGCAGTGAGAGCCTGGCTGGGTTTCTCTCCTGCAAACCAAAACTGCAGAAGACCTCCCCGGGACATCAGGCATCACTGTGCTTCCCAGCGGATGGCTCCAGCCTCACCAAAGCCACCCTCAGCATGGGATGAGCTGCCCACTGAGAAGGGATGCTCAGGGGCTGCCCAAGGCTGGGCCAGGGTGTGTTGAAGCTGCGTCCAGCCTCGGTAATGACCCTGGGGAGCCCGAAGAGTTGGTCACCCACCCCAGCACCCCTGCCAAGGCACCAGCCAAAACAGCGCGGACCCACTCGTAGAAATAGGGCATAACTGGCTACATGCCTGCTTGCAAATGCGCAGAGAAAAGGATGCTGAGTTTCTCTAGAGGCTCATTACCAAAAATTAGGCAGGTCCAGGCTGAGTTTTGGCTGGCAGATCCCACCAAGTATCTATGAGGCTTTTCCTCATGCTTTTAGCTTCCAGATCACAAGGGGAAGGTGGCTAAATTGGTTCCTTTGCCCCAGACCCACTCCATCCCCACAGGCTGCCTGTAAGGGCAGTATCACAGACAGTCTGTCACCTGTCACCCAGCCAAGGGTGACACCCACACGGCGTTGCCCCTGTGTGCCAAAGCTGGCCCAGCTCTAATTTTTCCAGGCATGGACATGATCTGGTGGAAAAGTGATGAAGATGATGTTGGTGCTACCTTGTGCAAACCCCAGCAGCGCCCAGGTCTGACGACCCTTTGGAAATCCCTTTTGCCCTTCATTTTGACCGTTTTGCCTTAAAAAAAATAAACACCAAACAGGCAGAGCAGGCAGCCCCTGTTCAGGCAGCATGCAGTGTCTGCTGGCCGCACACTCCCAGGGGCCAGAGCTGCCTGAGACCCTCGGAGGGAGCCGGCTACCCCACTGCTGCAGCTGGCAAGTGGAGAGAAACCCCATGAAAATCTTTCCTGCTAAAGCAGATGCTGCGAAAGGCTGTCGGTGCAGAGCCGGGCCGACGGCACGTGCTGCGCCGGCAGCTGCAGGAGCCTGGAAGACATCTCAAGGTCTTTGCATCCGCCAGCGGCTGCCAGCAATTCCCAGGAGGGCTGGGTCCCCCCCCTCCCAACACCCCTCCTCGGTTCTCCACCAGTCCCGTGCACCCCTCCTTCCCGGCACTGATTGCAACTGCTCCCAAGCGGCTCCCGAGCAGGAGAGCCCAAATTACCCCTGTCAAACGGCAGTGAAAGTGCTGATGTGATGACTCAGCCCCCTCCCAAAGGGGGGATTCAGAGCTCGCTGGAACCCTGTGGCTTTCCCCAGCCAGCAGCGTGGCCTTGGCTGGGCCCCCCCGGGGCTGGAGGGGAAGCAAGACCCTGTAGCCCACCTGGGGAACTCTCTGCTGCAGGGCACAGGGGAGTTAAACATCTTAGAGGGCTCATAAAAGGATTAGCACTCAATACAGGGGTGGGCAGCATCCACAGCTACGCTGCCTGGGATGAAACTTGTGCGGGAGCCAGGCAGAGAATCCCCCCGGGCTGGGTGGGTGCTGGGGTCACGCTACCCACGTCACCAGTGAGGTCACCATGCCGGCACTGCCACGGGCACAACTCTGGCACCTGCCACACTAACCCTGCTCACCGTCAGCTGCTGAGCCTGTCCCGCTCACCCACTCTGTTTTCCCACTTCCCAGAGAGCCAGGAGCTGGAGGAGAGGTACTGAACCTCAGAAAGCATCCACGGGCACCACCCTGCTCAGAAACAACCTCCAGCGAGGGGCTTTGTGCTACTCCAGTTCATGGAGGTTGTTCTCTCCTGTGAGATGTGAAGGTTTGCATCCTCCCTGCATCTTGGTTGACACAGCCACTGCCGCTCTTGTCATCCCCAGCAATTAGAAAAGGGGATTTTTTTCAAGGCATGAGATTATTTGTGAAAAAGGATCCACCAGCTGGAAAGACATGAGCCTGACCACTTGGGTGAGATACCCGCAGGACTGAAGGAGGCACGGGCAGCCAGGGAAAGAAGCTATGTTTAACTGACTCATTGAAATAGCATGTTTTTATCTCTTAAAAATCTCTGGGGTTTGGGGAAGGATCAGGTCATTTCACAAAGAAAACCCACCAAAAGCCACCTGACTCAATGCTCAGCATGGCCCCAAGCAAAACCCAACCTTGGGATGGTGCAAAAGTCCTGGTGTCACCACCTTCCCCCCTTGGGTGCAGGGACAGGAGAGCCTCTGTGCTGCACCCGTGGGCACCCAGCCTGCACCCACCTTCTGCTGGTGAGGGGCACCCACTGCCACCCACTGCACTGGGAGGGTAAAAGCAGCTGTTTTTTGGTCTGCAATTTGGCACCCAGCCCCGGCTCATGCCAGAAACCTCCAGCCCAAGACGCTAGTAACCAGCTCCTTCCTACTTGCCATGGGGATTCTCTGATGGCAAATAAGGCTTGTACGCCAGGGGGACAAGGAAAGCCCCTCTCCCCTCTGCAGCCAGGCAGAGCAGATGCGTGCTGGGCGCCCTGCTGAAGTCAGATAAGCCACCACAGCAATTGGCAGCTCGGTGTGGGCAAGCCCTGCTGTGGTGGGGACACCCAGGGTGGCCCCGACACCGAGCCCACGCACAGACCTGCACACCCTGGCCATGCTGGATGGGGGAAGAGAGTGGGGATGAAGATTAATGCGATGGTCACGATTAGTTCAGCGCAGGCGGATTGCCGGAACCCAGAGAAGCTATTTCCTTCCACAAACAAAATGCATTTAAATGATGCTATAATCTGTTGCCGGGAGGGGGGACGTTATCGGCGCCTCCATTCCTTGGCCATAAACTAATCCTGCTGGGAGAGGGTCTAACCCAGCCGTATCCAGCCCGGGGTGTGTGCCAGGAGGGTGGATCACAGCCCAGCCCGAGTCCACGCGCCACAGAGGGACAAAGGGTGGGGAGGGAAAATGGTGCGTGGCTCTATGGAGGCATGGCTGCTGGCTAGGCAGCGAGGAAGGAAGAATGGGTAAGAACAGATGAACCAGCAGAGAGAATGGAGGGTGCATGGGTGGAAGGAGATAGGCAGACCAGAAAAATGGCTGGACAGCAAGAGAATGGCTCTAAGGAGAGGGAGAAGAGGTGATGGATGGAAGGATGGATGGACAGCACAATGGTGCAAGGGATGGAAGGAAGGACAGCACAACAGCTCAGGGGATGGAAGGAAGATTGATGGAAGGATGGATAGACAAGCAAATCAGCTCAGGAGACTTCAGTCCCCAGCCCCTGCCCTGGTTTCTAGCAGCCCCCAGGAGGGAAGGTAGCTCTCATGCCCCCACCTCTGGCTGGGTTTGGGGGGACAGAAGAGTTAAGCCCTGGTCGCTGGCTCTGCTCTGGGACCCACTGCAGTTAACAGGGTTTGCTGTGCCTGACCTGCATTCCTGGCCTTATTATGTTGGCACAGAGCGGACCATATGGTCCTTCCAACCTTGCAGCTCAGCACTGCAAGTAAAAAAGCAGATCTCTGTGCCTGGTCACTGTCTGACCAGCCCAGGGGCTGCCTGGACCCCCCAGGCTGAGGAGTCACCCCAGCCCCACAGTGAGATGGGATGGGACAGGACGGGACTCCCATGTGTCCTCTCCTTCCCATCCCACAGCAGCCTGTGAGGAACTGGGGTGATGGAGAGGGGGGAAGAAAGGGAGATGGGAACACACAACTGTTGGAGAGGCCCTCGCTGAGCCCCCACATCTGCCCAGCCAGATGTGCCCCACGCCAGCCACAGCAGCACGGCCAGATGGGCCAAGCTGCTTCCCTCCTCTGTGAGGGCACACAGGGACAGCAGCTGCATCCTCCAGCTATGACTTAAAACCAAGACAACCTCCTGCAAGCCAAGGGGTCTGATTGATTCTGGGGATCTGCAGCACCAAAAGCCCCTCCCTGTCCCCCCCTTGGTGAGGGCCCCACCGTGGGGTTTCAGTCACTACCAGCCTCCCTCCTGCTCTGGGGTGCTGCGGTCAGATAGATAGAGGGACACATGGGAAAAGAGGCTGACACACAGACTAGACATAGCTATGGTTGGTGGGAGATTCTGGCTTGTTCCTCTTCCCTTCTTGCCCCAAATCCCCAGCAAACAGAGCACAGGGGGAATGTGGCTCAGCCCCTCCATCCTGCCCCCACTGCAGCCTCACCAGCCCTGTCCCTGCTCCCACCCACCACCCCAAGGCTGAAGAGCCTCCTCCTCTTCCCCTTATCCAGCACTGACAATCAGAGCTGAGCTCCAGCTTAACGACAGATGTCTGCCATAGGGATCGCTTTAGCCACACTCTGGGGAGGGATCTTTATCCCAGCTTATCTCATGGGATGCACTGGGGGGGGGGGCTCAGCATGTATATCCCCACTTAGCAGGGGAAGAGTGTGTAGGAAAAAGCTCTGGAGAAGAAGAAGAGAGAGGGAGGGAGGTTTGAGGTCATGCCAGGAGGTTTAAAATTTCCTGTGGTGTTAACAGGTGGCTCTGGGGGCTTGGTGCATCGGTGGGCCACACTCAGCTCCAAGAGAGATGCCAAAATACCAGTGATGTGAGACACCAGCCCTGGCCACCCAATCTCCTGCCATGGCGGCTGGGCTCCCACGGTGGCCCTGTCTGGCACGCCAGCCCTCCATCCCACCTCGGAGCAAGCCAGGAAAGTCATCCATAAAGCAGTGACAATGATGAAACCCTCACTAAACACACGGGAAGGGCTGTGGGGAGGGATGGCAGGGAGCTGTGTTACTGTCTCTAGCAGAGGGCTTCACGATGGCTTCCAGCCCAGCCCGGGACTCCTTTGGAGGAGTTTCAGTGGTCACTGGTGGCTGGGATTCAGCCACCATCATGGGTGCAGGATGAAAAGATGCGTGGGATTTCATCAGTG